TCCGTGTTTTACAAATCGCGGACTGAATTTGTAAAACACGGACTGGACTGGACTGGACCGGGAAAACGCGGACTGAGTCCGTGTTTTACAAATCGCGAACTAAGATTTGTAAAACGCGGACTGAGTCCGTGTTTTACAAATCGCGGGCTGCGATTTGTAAAAGGCGGACTCATTTACTGAATGCACTAAGGATGAACGGTCGCAGTAAAGTATGGTCTATTCTCATGACAAAGTTCAATGTTTTTACCGAGAAAGTTCAATGTTTTTGATGATCATTTATGATCATTTGGTGGTTTCAAAGCTTGGATCTGGTTGTTCAACGGGTTAAAATCAGATCAGAACCTGTCAAGTACTCTTGACAAATATCGAAGATTCTCACGCGAATAGGCAATGTTTTTATCAACGACCTCACCGTTTATCCTGCAAGCGACGGTACATGGACTCAGTCCTGTACTGACTCAGTTGTAAAAGTTTTGGCGGGAATTGCACTCAGTCGTGAGAGTTTTGGCGGGAATTGCGGATATTAATAGGTCGGTCAAGGAATAATCATATCCTGGAGCTAAGGTTGGTAAAAATTACTATTATTTATTTATTGTTTGGAATAAACTGATGAACAGCGTTCAATCTTAGGAGCACGCTCAGCCATGTGGGACTTTGTGCCACTATTGTCGAGGAAACTCGTGCGTGTATCAAGTGTGGCCGTTTCATGTAAATAGTTGTATGCCTGTATAGATATAGGCATGGGCGTACCGGAAGGAAAAAATTAGGGGGGCGGAAATAAAATTGCCCGACTTTTCGGCATTCTGCCCGACTAGTACCAAAAATTTTTTCCCGGAAAATTTTTTTGGCGACCTCCCCCCTCCCCCCCCCCGTCGCCAAAAAAATTTCGGTCAGTGTACCATTTCAGCGGTCAAAAAGATTTTCCGGACAACCAATATTTTTGGGAATATCACACAAATTTTCGAAAAATCACTAAATTTGCCAAAAAATTTACTTAATTTTAAACAAAATTGAAAGAATTTGTCCCATTTTTTTTTATTGCAAGCCAAAATTGCCCGACTGTTGATCGAATTTGCCCGACTGCCCAAAAAACTGGGGGGGGGGCTACCGCCCCCCCCCCCCCCCCCCCC